TACTTTAAAGGACTTCGTTCAGTGAGTGCTTAAGGGCTTTCCTCTCCAGATAGCGATATTCCTGAAGGTTCTATCGCATGAGGCAGACAGTTGTACCACCAAGTCTGCACACCAAGCTCCTCCCCACAAATGAGGGACTGTGCTCACCAAAAAGCACAATCACACTTCCTTTAAAATGAGGAATGTCTTGAGGCTATATGGAACCAACACTGAAAGAGAAACAGCTGTTTGAAACTATATAGGATTTAGTCACAGGATGGATGCATTTAGCCGCATGCATACGTCGACATACACACCAGGTAACCACACATAACTCCCAAGTCCAGCAATGGAGGGATTTAGTGGTTTGACCAACTCCTTCCCAGCAGCAGCCCTGACTGGCTCCTAGCCCTGGTCCGGACCCAGTCTCCTCTGTGATCTTTTGTCATGTGGTGATTCTCTTCTGCACCCCATTCAGTCTCATACCAGTTTCCCACATACGCCTGCTAGAGATATAATATTAATTGCCCAGAAATCTCAGTCTGCAATTGCTCCAACATCATTCTTTAATGAATACAGACTTCATTGCATGTATTTCTATTACTTTAGCTGCTTCTATTTCTATTTTCATTGCAAAGATCTGTGCAAATAAAAGAATATCAAAAGGTATAGCTATAAATGTGCTCTGCTAAATTCCCTCTGCCTTGAAATGCCTGTGAACTACAGCTACAAAATGCCTGCTGCATTTTAATGCCTTTCTCATGAGGCAACATGATGTGGCAGAAACAGCACTGACTCTGGAGGCACACAAACCCTGCTCCCCCGTCCACCAGAGGAGTCGCTTCTCTGAGAGTCAGTGTAGTCATCGGTAAGACATCCATAACAACGCCATCCACACAGATTTGACTGAGAATTAAATAAGATGAAGTATAGAGGGCACACATGTTTTATTGTAGACATCATAAGAGTCCGATATACGTTAGTGTGTTTTCTCTAGCCTGCCACAGTAGTGGGAGGAGACTATGGCATGCACAAATAAACACTCATTTGTAAAAGGACTACAACTGATGTAATTACAAAGTCAGAAGAGTAAGGTTAGATTTCACAGAAGCACAGAATGCCTTGTGGGATGTTTACTGCTATTGGAATTTATTACTGTAGGTGTCCATGAAGAAAATGACATGGTTTCTGACATTCATTGCAACTTTATGCTCTGTCCAGCTCTAAAATGTCATAAAAGGGGCTTATTTAACTCTACATGTTCCTTTAGAGGCATAGGCTGTGCAATTTATAAGAAATCACTACAATATAAATCTTTTTTGTTACACTGCTTGAATTAATTTCATATAAAAAGTTGGCACATTGCAAGTGTAAGATGGCATTGATCATCCATATATGGATGCAGATGTGGTAGGAACTCTTTGTAAGAATAGCCAGGCTTTACTTCACCCAGTGAATAATAATATAGAAAGGCTGATTTCTGACCAGCAACGGGGAGATGGGATTGTTGATACTTTGATGTGTGTTATTTGGTTCCAAGGATATTTGAGTTACATCATAATCTGATGTCACTTCTGAAGCTAAAAGACGAGCGATTCTCTAGAATCTGTACTGCTGAGTTCCATAAAGCCAGGAAAATAGAACAGCCAACATAAAAATAGAGAAGGAAAACTAGAATCCTCAGAGCGTAAGTCCTATAGGCTAGCCTTAAGGTCCATTCTGGTTCAAGGTATTGCGGGAGAACCCAGTCTAAGATACACAAAAGATGAAGGAAGAGAGCAGGCTGGAAGTCGCAAGCTATGGTGGAATGTGTAGTCTTGGAAGTCAGACTTTCTTAATCATCTTGAGCTGTGAGTCTTATATGCTTCATCCTTACTGAGAATAATAATAAAACCTCTCTCTCAATATTCTTTTGCAATATTTGGAGCACCTGTTACACAGGAATTGTAAACAACCTCAACTCATATGCCAGCTTCTATAGATTATTAGTGGCTTTCTGAAGTTCTGGCTTGAGAAGAATTCTAAAGTTATGTCTGGTGTAGTTAGGGATAGGGCAGTAATTGATTAATGATGTCTGCCCTGGGCAGAAAGTAAATACAAGTCTGTGCTTTATAAGTGTCCTATAAAGCATAGCTATAATAATTTCTGCTGTTATTGCAAAGGTGTTTGTATGTCCCTCTTCAATGTGCTAAATTTTTGCAACTTCAACACAAAATACACTCAATTAATTGTTTTGGTTACAATAATGGTATTTATCATTTTTACTAACTTGATGGTAAATTTATAGGTATTATCCTAATGAGAAGAGCTAAAAAGTGAAATCAGAATTTGCCATTCCCAATTTCAGTATATAAAAACTTTCTCTGGGAAAATCTGATGCAGTTTACTAAAGGTAAAATGAGGGTTGGAAAGGAAGAAAGAGTAGACAATATTGAGATGTAGTCCCAGGGTACAATGGAAGGTTTGCATAATATCTTCTTTAAAATATTCATGAAAGAAGAAGATATGGCATGTTTTGCAGTTAGATGTTCCATGACTTTCTGGACTTTTTTCCTGCTTTTTCACTGGAGCCAGATTTCTTTTTTGGGTAAATAGTCATGTTCCTGTCAGCCATAGGGGATTTTCTGAATCTTGAATAACTGATTTTGTATTCTTCCTCCATTCCCTTATTTGAGAATGGCAATCTGATGAAACCCATATTTTCAAATTTATGTATTAATAGGCATATGGAAGAATAGTTTATAGCCCAAGTATGTTTTTTTTCCTACCACAAATGGAGGAAAATTGTAGTGTTTGGTTTTTTTTTATATTAAATTGTCTTATCTGTTTCTTTCTTTTTTTCCCCTCTTTATTACTGATGACTTCATTCTACTTGAATTCAATGCTTCAGTTTCTTTTGGGTAAACTAATAGATTATGTATGCAATGTTTGCACCGTGTTGATTGAACTCATCTGGTGAGTTTGAGCGCTGCTCATGAATTCCCGTAATCGGCAGAAGCCTGTGCATTGGATACAAACGCCGACATCCTCTCCTGTTACTCCAAAACAGAGGAAGCTGTTCAAAACAGACTCTGCTGCTTTTTCTGCCTGCCCATGGTTCAGAAATGTTTATGAAGCCTTTTGTTGTTTTCTTATTATTGTCTTCTCCATGTGCTCAAAGGAAGAATAAACTATGATAAAGAACATTAGAAAAGAATTGAGAGTTTTTAAATACTTATTGAAAAAAAAATAAGGGTGTGTGTCTTCTAAGGATTTGTCTTTTCTTACTCCAAGGTGTAAGCTTGCTGAGGGCCTGTGGGGTACCTGAGCCCAGAGCCCTGTGCAAACTGTAGCAGCGACAGGCATAGACTCATAGTCCCATGCTCAGTGAACTTGTGACCTTCTTTAGAAAGAATGCTTTTCTTCCAAAAGATATTCACTCACCATTTTTTCAATGTACAAGCATAATTTTCAAGAATTTTAAAAAATAGCTAACCTCTATTGCTTTTAGATAACTCATTTAAACTTAAAACTCAACTGTAATATTTGAGGAACTTTTGGCATGCAAGGTTCTTCACATTGGGGCCCCACCTATCTTTCCAAGCCTCACTCGTCTCTTCACCCCTGTCTCTTCTCATATACCCTATCACTACAACAACGATTCACATTCATGTAGCCCAGGTGTCATTACCCATGAAGTTAAAGTACCGAATTGTACAAGTAATATGCTTTTGTCATTTATTGAATTCAGAATATCTTCTAAGCTGAAGTCACCAGTACTCATTTTTATTCTAATATGCTTTCTAAATGACAGAGGAAAGAAGCATGTATCGGCTGATATGTATATGAGGCAAGACAAAGAAGTTGAGGTTCACTGCTTGCTCAAACTGACATACCCACAATTCCCCAAAGCGAGATGCTTTCTTACTGCTGCACGTGGCCCTGGCCTTCTCTATACCAGCAATTTCCTCATCTGACTTATCCAGCAGTTGAGCACCTGTGCATTCCTCAAGGCTCCCTGAAGGATCCCCTGCTCTGTGCAGCCTTTCATGATCTTCCATGACTCTGCTCTCACCTTGTCAAAGTTTGGGTTTCTGTCTCCTCACGACAACTGTGCTGATCTCTGTTGCAGCACCTGCCACCGTGGATTGTGTCTTCTGTATCTACCCTCTACCTCCAACATGGTACTTGCTGTAGACAAGGACTGTGAACTCTGTATTTCTATAGTCCCAGATTGTAATATAAGTTCTGCCACAACTGGGCAGTCAGTTATGCCTCAAATGAACCAAAGAAGTTGAATGCCGTTCTTCCCTTGCTTCCTTTACCTGAATTACATTGTGTGATATTGATTCTGCTGAGATGATAATGACCAATCCAACCTAAAAGGGAGCCCCTAGATGCCTAGTTTGGTTTGGGTAGATGAATCACTGGAGCAGCCCTAACTCCTGAGACCAGAGCTTTGGACGAGCAAACGAGATAGTGCATTCTGTATCCTCCTGTATTCCCCATCTGACCCTTTTACTTTTTGGCCTTTTTATCTTTCCGTATGCTGTGGCTATGCCTGTATATATGTATCTCACCCACACCCTCTCCTCAAAAAAATTCATGAGTCTCATTGAGATGAACACTGGCAAGAGACAAGTCTGTATCATCTCCAACCGTCTGGCCAACTTTGTTCCAAATAGGCAACTCTTATATGAGAAAATAGATACAGTAAAATTTAACTAACTCTGTGTATGATTAGAAGAGGGAAATAAGGAGTTTTTTAATTACTCTAAAAGATGAGGATTCTATCTTGCATCCTCATTCAAAAGTCATTTATTAATCCCAAGTCCAATGTTTTGACCCATACAGCTAAAGGTATGTGCATAAGAACCACTTTTGGTTCAATTTTACTGCTGATTTCATCATTTTCCTAGCATAGCTGAATTGTAGTATCCAAACTTCCAAATGTGGATGCCAATTCCTTTATTAAGACGCTCAGAGTAACTTTCAGAGATGCATACACTGTGTGACTGGGTTTCTTGTATTGTGTCCCGTAGTGGCCGGCCCATGGGCGGAAGCACCGACCGCATCCAGAAGTTGCGGAAGGAGTATTATCAGGCTCGGAGGGAAGGTTTCCCTTTATATGAAGATGATGAAGGAAGAGCAAGGCCATCTGATTATGACCTTCACTGGGTGAGTCCAGGCCTGACCCTCATCATTGAACTCACCTTGACTGAGGTTGGTTAGAAGAGAGGAACACAGTGTGTGTATAGCAGATTACATGACAGTTTCTTGGGTTTCATAGACACACACGTAACCCAAACCACAGCCACCTCCTCCCACAGAAGTTATTTCCATAAATCAAACCACAGTAGTTCATTCTAATTGCTCGCCGACTCACTTCCTGTTATATCCCAACCAGTTGTGGAGGGAACAGATGTTAGCTGCTGTAAAGAAGAAACGAATCCCTGCCACCATCCATTAAGCCTTATTCCCAACCCTCCTCCTGTTGGAGCTGAGACATGCAGGTCAGCGTCAGCGGACTTTGCAACATAAGCCATCTCCCTTTTGGAGGACAGTTATTAGAAACAAACTTCAGAAGGGCCATTGTCAGCTGTATCAATTGTTTGTATATTGGATCTGAGCAATGCACAGTCTGCTGATCTTACCAGAATACAAGGATCACTTTTTGAGATAAGGGCAGTTTTTGTATTAGAGGATTCTTTTGCCAAATCCTTCAACATTCAGGGAAGAGAAAAGAATAGTGTGACAACAGAAAGAGATACTCTATGGGTTTTGTCATGGTAGTATGACTCATTTTCTTGTCTTTTCAAGAAGATACGTCTGTGCCTGCAGAAGACACTTAACTCTTGAGCAGCCACTGAAATCTCCAGTGGAGGATGCTTAGAGTTGGATGAAATGTACATGTCAGATGCTTCCAACAGGCCCTGCCACAGAGCCAGCACTCAACACAGATTCGCTCTCATTGCTTACATTATTATTGCAGCAGTGCAGGGCATGGCCACAGTGGAGTCCTCGCTGAGACTCAGGCCTCACTCGTGCTCTTTGATGATTACTGCTGTCCACTAAAGTGCTTAGTGCTGCTTTAAGAAACGAGGAAGGACCTCCGTGGTCCCCAGTGCCCACTCATCCTTGTCACCATCTCCCTTGAAAGGCAGATCTATCGAAGGAAAGTCTGCACTCATGCTGACGCTTATGTGGTGAGGACGGGAAGAGTGGACGCCAGCAACTGAGCTGATCCCCTCTGGTTTTCACATCTGTGCTGTGGCCTGTCACGCATGACACTTTACTCTGGGGTTGGAAAATCAGCTTGAGGTTTCACCACTGTTGTGCAGAGCAACAGAAACTCCCTGGCCCAGGAGATTCTCCTCATCTGCTGGAGCTTAGAAACACTGGGCGGAAGTGTGCAGTGAGGAATGGCAATCCCGGTCCAACTGGCTTCCGCCTCTTAGGAGCTAGGCATTCAGAGACTGCCGAACAGAACGAACAGCTGTTCCCAGGTTGTACTGCAGATGTTAGGATTAGACAGAATGGCACTTACAGTGTCTCTTAGACTCTAGGCAGCAGGAAAGAAAAAAAATTTCCACACAGCAACAGATTAGATAGCAATTCACTTTGTCTCAGAGTTGTTGGAGACCAACTTGTCACCTTTGACAGGAGACAGGAGCACAGTTATTAGGTGAGGCATGGCTCTCTCAGTAAAGCAAAGAAGCAATAAAATCAGGGGAAGTTGCATCCACTGTAACCAAAGCAGAACGCCATGTCCAACCGCATCTCAAAATGATGAAGTCCTACGAACAAAACTGAACAGGTGGCTTTCGATTAAGTAATGCCAGTTGTGTTCTATGATTTCCCCACATGAAGCTGAAAGGATGACGATGTTTTCCCTTCACGAGACTGAAAAAGTCCCCTGACCCTTACCACACCTGAGCTAGAAAACAATATCCCTGGCTGCTTCCAAGCAAACGTGTAACCAGACCATCTAGTGAATCAAGAACTTATCTTGACTTTAATTGGTGGTTCCCATGCTCCAGTGCGTTGAGCTTTGCCAAAAGTGACTGATTTTATGTTTCCCAGAGAATTGAGGCCCAAAGCTTCCCAAAGCGATGCTTGGGAAATGCACTGTCATAAAAGAGAGTGCTGTGTGATCACCTGAGCCACGCCAACCCAGGGATTAGAATCTCAGTGTTCTTTCCTCCCCTCTCCCAAGCCAAGGAAAAACACAGTACCTTTTGTCCGGTGTTGGCCTGAGAAATTATACTGTTGTCTTGCTACTTTTGGAGAGCTCTAGCAAAACAAGTTTAGAAAGTTAACACTTCATTCCTGTCAGTCAGCCAGATCGAACAAGGCAGCTTTTATGAGGCTGCGGTTCCTAAAATCAGGCTATTGTTCAGCATCACCAGGGCACTTGTTAAAATCAAATTGACAGTTCATGAAGGAGAGGTGTAGAGCAGAGAGAGGCCCCAGGTGCTGTTCCAGGCAGTCCTCAAAGATCGGGGTCTACAGTTCTTAAAACTGGCTATTGGCTCTGGTAGCTTCAGTGAACACCAAAATGGTCCAAGTTCTCTAGCAAAAATCTGAATCTGATGAGCCAGCGTTATCAGAAATACTTTCATTTCATGAGGGCCAGTGTCATGGCCTAGCAGGTAAAGCTGCCGCCTGCAATGCCAGCATCCCAGGTTCTATCCCAACTGCCCCACTTCGGATCCAACTCCCAGCTAATGGCGTAGAAAAGCAGCAGAAGATGGCCCAAGTGCTTGGGATTCTAAACCCACGTTGGGGGAAGCTCCTGGCTCCTGGCTTCAGATCAGCCCACTTATGGCTTTTGCAGCCATTTGGGGAGTGAGCCAGTAAATGGAGGATCTCTCTCTGTCTTTCCCTCTTTCTGTCTGTAACTCTTCCTCTCAAATAAATAATAAATCTTTAAAAAATGAAGAAGAAGAAATACTTTCATGGATTCCAAACTCATTGAGCACCATACCTTGGATGAGAGGCCTGGGGACATGTTCCCTGGAGTCCTACTATACTGTCGGACTTCTGAATTGTAATAAGAAAATAAGGAAGTTACCAGCAACCGTAGGCCACCAAAATATGGATGCTCAAGTCCCTTATGTAAAATGGAGCAGTATTTTCCTGTTGCCTACTCACATCTTCGCCTATATGTTAAATCATCTCTACTTATAATACCTAATGCAATGTAAATGTTATGTAAATAGTTGCTACGCTGTAGTGCTTAGGGGATAATGACAAGAAAATAGTCTGCACGTGTTTAGTACTGATGCAATTTTTTCGAATATTTTCAGTTGGCATTTGTTTGAATCGATGCATGTGGAGCCCACAGATATGGAGAGAAAACCATATTTTTAAACCAGTTTTAAACTAAATCAGAAAATTAACAGAAGTATGCTCATGAAAGTCTTCAGTGCTAAAATGATGAAAGCAACCACTTGGAAGATTATTCAGATCCATGAATATTTTTAAAAAGAAAATATATTTTTCTCAATGAAACTAAGGTTCTTTCGTTAGCTTGCCTCAGACTTTCCAGATCTTCCTGGGCCATTTAGTGTGGAGTTCTCTAACACATGACACCTAACCTTTGCCTGAGCCTCATATTTCTCTCCCTGCTCTTACTTGGTCTTACTTGGGTTCTTTTTTTGTTCGTTTTATTAAAGAATTATTTATTTGAAAAGCAGAGTTACAGAGAGGCAGAGGTAGAGAGAGAGAGAGAGAGAGAGGTCTTCCATCCACTGATTCACTCCCCAGATGGCCTCAACAGCTGGAGCTGTGCCAATCTGGAGCCAGGAGCCAGGAGCCAGGATCGGTGCAGGGGCCCAAGGACTGGAGCCATCCTCCACTACTTTCCCAGGCCACAGCAGAGAGCTGGATCAGAAGTGGAGCAGCTGGGATTCAAGCCGGTACCCACGAGGGATGCCAGCCCTGTAGGCAGTGGCCTCACTGGCTATGCCATAGCACCAGTCCCTTACTTGGGTTCTTAATTGGTCTCATGTCCTTCTCACCTTCTCTTTCTTCCCTTCTGCTCCTCTCCCTCCCTCCCTTCCCCACCCATCCCCTCTTCTCTCTTCACTATGTCTCCTATTCAATTTTCACGAGTATTTGCCAGATCCTCAGGTCAGTCAGCTGTTAGTGACAGAAATATGACATCTCTACCTCAGAGGAACTTGTGTTCTAGCTAGGAATACAAATGTATAAGCCAAAACAAAATAGAGCAATAATGTGAGGGCACTTTGAAAAGTTCATGGGAAAATGGAATTAAAAGATAAGCTTACTTTGGAACAAAAAGTTTTTTAAATCCATGCATAGTTTTTACATAGTACATATTTTCTATAAAATATTTGAAGACCCCTCAGATATATGAAAGTGCTGTAATACAGAGAAGTATTGAGTTCTATATTAACTCAGAGGGAGCAGTTAATTCTGCCATCGGCAGTATGTGCAGTTAGTTGGAAGCAAGGGGCTGGGAAAGCTGTAGAGACAATTTGAGAATTGCCCCACTCGGCATATTTTGTTGTCTTTCTCTCTACTTTGGTGGGATTTTTTTTTCTTTTCCAAAGGAGCTCCTGAATTATTCACTTCATTTGTTTTAAAATAAATGAATGCACACAGATTGTACGGTTTGTAAATATGGACCTGAGACCTTAAAAATCTTTTCAGCCAGGCTGTTTTGTAGCTGTTTTCCCATCTAGGCTCTGAAAAGCTGTGAAGAACAAGTTGAGCGAATTTCAATGGCTGCAAGTGAAAAGGCCTGGAGACTTTTATAGGCCCAATTAAGTAAGCAAGATATGCTGGCTGTGAACTGTTCATATTTGCCAAAAGAAAACATAATACCTGTTATCTGCCGGTATTTTATTTTCTGTAGAAATTGTTAAGACTGTCACAAAACTCTGGCAACTGGCTGCTTTTATTAGTAGATAAAGATTATCTGCATATTTAACAGCAGCATGAATATCCTATAAGTGGTTTCAGAAACAGGATGGTTCTGAAATTTTCTTAAAATATTAGTACTTTCATTGTTGTGTTTTTCAAGGGCAACATGGCATACATCATTCTCTCCCCTTTACTTTTTTTTTACCTCTATAGCTAAAATAGAAGAATATTTATCTATAAAAAAGGTTTGTAGACACATGGATGGGAAGTTTGCTTATATATGGAAA